CTATGATGCTGCTTGGCCTGCTGTGTTCATCCAGGCCTGCACCTTGTTGTATCGGATTCTCCAGCATCTGCAGTTCCTACTATCTCTGGAACTGAAAGAAGACTGGATTCAAAATGTTAACTCTGCTTTCTCTCCAAAATGCTGCCAGGCCTGCCAAGTTTCTCCAGCTTTTTATGTTTTGTTTCAGCTTTACAGCATTCACAGTTCTTTGTTTTACTTTAGTGAAAATTAGTTGTTGCTTAAGCAGGACCAGTGAATGTTGCCAAGCGCATCGATGGATTTGCTACAGATTAAGACAGAAGCAGCATAGATTTGGATGGCCTCAAGTTGAAAGAGGGTGAAATGTGGGAGGCCATCAGGAGTATGCTGAAGTTGTCAAGTCTAGAGATTACGTAGGCGTGAAGCAGATGAGCTGAAACGGGACGGAGTTGGGCAATGTTACTGAAGTAGAAATGGGCAGTCCAGTGATGGCACGAATATGAGATCTTAAGTTCATCTGAAGATCAAATGTGAAATTAAGGTTATGAATAGGCTATTTTCATCCCAGACTGTTGCAAGGGGGATTGGATGAGAGCAAGGACCAAAAACAAGAGCTTCAGTCTTTATTATTTAATTGAAGGAAATATCTCCTTATCCAGTACTGTGTGTAAATATCTCCAGGTGTGAGACAAACCATCTGATAATTTATCAATAGTGATGGAGTCAAGAGGAAGTGTGAGCTAGAACTGGGTGACTTCAGCATTCGTGTGAAAGCTAACACTGTGTCTTTAAATGATGTCACAGAGGGGCAACATGTAGTTGAGAAACAGAAGGTGACCAAGCGGAGATCCTTGGAGGATACCCAGGTGAATGCTGAAAGGGGCAGGAAAAGAAGTGATTAATTAGGACTGGAACAAGGTAACAGTAGTCCCACAGAGAGGTAAAGAGTGGAGAGGCATTGGAGAAGGATAATATGATCAATTGTGTCAAAGCCTGCAGAAAGATCAAGAAAGATCTTGCATCACAATTGGATGGAAAGTCATTGTGACTATTTTGTATTGTGGCAGAGGCGGAAAGATGATTAGAGAAATTTAAACATGGAGTGTTGACGAAGATGGAGATGGATTTGGAAGTGAGAACTGGAAAGTGAAGTTGAGCAAGAGCTGGAACTTTGCAAATATGGTGGGGTAAGGGGTCTTTTTTTAGAAAGAGATGAAGACAACATATTTATAGAAGTGAAGTACAACACCTGAAGAGACAGAACTGTTTACAAAGTCAACTAACATGGGGGCCAAGCGGGTATTTAGGT